ACATTTTTAAAATATTTATTAAATGTTAATTTAACTGATTTTTTATTTACAATAATGTTCTGAAGAAACATTTTTTATTTAACGTTAATTAAACGTTCATTTTACATCAATTATTTATTTGAAATGATGTTTGGAAGAAATATTTTTTAAACGTTTATTTAATTTGTTTTACATTAATTTTTTATTTCAAATAACGATGAAAAAAATATTTTTTTAATGTTTATTTAACGTTAAATGTTCATTTTACATCAATTATACATTTGAAAAATATTATTAAAAATATTATTAAAATATTATTAAATTTAAAAAGTTATAATTCTTTAATTAAAAGTACTCATTTTTCCGAAGTTAATATGTTTACGATTTTTTTTTCAGTGTTAAAATTAAACATTTCACTACAATGCCATTGTTTCATTTTCTTAAAGGATAAAATTATATATTAGGTGTAGTAAAAAGAAATCCATTATTTTTCCAATAGATGGCTTTAGTAATCTGTATCTCGTCTACGCGTGATTACTAAAGCCATCTATTGAAAAAATAATAGATTTCTTTTTACTACACCTAATACCATAATTTTTTTAAGTCAATGTAACCAATACTATTGATTTGGTAACACTTCAAGAAGGGTTCGGATTATTTTAATCCAGAATAACCACTAGGATTAATCATTGGCCAATTTATTGTAATATTGAAGACTATTATAGAATTATATTATAAAGTTATTATTATAAAATTATTACACATTATAAATAAATTTTAAAATATTAATATCCAATTTAATAGGAACATAATTACGAGGGCAAATCAATAAGTACCCGTGTTTCAAGACAGGCGGCGTTGCTAATGCAAGTTGACATTACCATCGTGTACTATCATCGTGTACTTTCAAACGACGCCATACAAAATTTCAGAGTGATTCATGCAATAGTCTTGATTTGACATTGAATTCGTAGTGAGCGTGTTTGATGTCCGATACAATGAAAAAAGAGCAATATCGATTCGCGATTCGTTTCTTATTTTTAGATGGAAAAATGTGCGAAGAAATAAAAACGAAGTTGGATGCCGTCTATGGGAACTCTTCACCAGCTATGACAACCGTCAGATATTGGTTCAACGAATTCATTTCGTTCGTCTGTTTTTGATGAGGAGCGCCCAGGCCGCCCGGCAGATGTGATTACTGAGGAAATCGTTGAAAAAGTCCACGAAATGATTCTCGCTCATCGCCGAACGAAAATGCATGAAGTAGCAGAGGCCATAGGCATGTCGTACGGAACGGCATTCAATATTTTGCATGATAACTTGGAAATGAAAAAGCTGTCGGCCCGATGGGTGCCGCGATTGCTCACAACAATGGATGCGGTAATCAATTTCAAATTGCGCTACGAATTGCTGTCGCATCCACCGTCCTCTCCAGATTTAGCCTCCTGCGACTTCTTCTTGTTTCCAAACTTGAAAAAATGGCTCGGTGGAAAGAAATTCACGTCGAATGAGGAGGTCATCGCCGAAACAGAGGTCTGTTTCGTAGAGTTCGACAAATGGTACTTTTCTGAGGGGTTAAAAAAATAGCAGAAGCGTTGGGAAATGTGTATACTCCTAAAAGGGGATTACGTTGAAAAATAAAAAAAATTTTTGTGAAAAGCTTGCGTCTTCATTACTAACACGAGTACTTATTTGCCCTCGTATAGTCTAAAATAAGATTCTTGTAGATTGTTTATATTATCGTCTGAAAGAAGGATTGTTTCCAAACATGTACTGATTATTGCGAAGAATATTACTAAGACCTCGATAGATTAAAGATTTAGGATGCTCGCATGGAAAGTAAAAGATCCGGATTCGACTCCCGACCGAAGTAATATTCTTCGCAATAATCGCATTTATTTATAGTTTTTCAGTACATTAATATCTTTCTAATATGATGCCTGATTGAGCATCGAAATATTAAAAACCTCTTGTCAATTTAATTTAATTCATGATATTATTATAGTAATTTAAATACGTTTACAAGTCCGGAAAACTACGCGAGAACGAAGCAATTACATTTTGTATTTTTTTGCAATTTACTCCAAAACGAAGCAAAAACTAGCAGCTATACAGGACTTTTTTCTTAATTTATCGATCCCCTACACGCTCCCGAAGTTTTAACATTTATATGTCAGGTACCCTGTATATAATTTACATTGAATTATTTAAACATTAAAGATCTAGCTTTGACCGTTATAGGCATTTAATTTCGTACTGAATTTCATATTGAAATCTATATCAATTGGCTCATTTTCAATGTTATTTCATTAAGGTTTCACTACAATTCATTAAAATTTCATTAAGATTTCATTACAATTCATTAAGATTTCATTAAAATTCATTAATGTTTTATCAAAAATTCAGTACAAAATATTATATTTAGCTCCGCGTTGGTACAAAAATATAATGCATATACTAGAATACATATGTATATACGAAAACCATGTAAATATAAATTTTATATGTGTATATAATCTGAGCATCGGCTATATATCTAGCTCTGATTATATACGTTACGCATGGATCAAGAGGGGCGGCACATCTCGGCGTATGAACATGTACGTTATTATTTTACTATTTTGCTAAAGATTTTATAAAAACTATGCATGATATCTAAATATCACTATTTTGAAAACAACTTGTTTAAAAAGAGAATGTTTTCTAGTTGATATCACTGAAGAAACTACTGAAACTAAAATAAGTAGATTAGACAACTCGTAAATATGTAATTATGATATTTAGATATTATGCATTTTTATAAAATCTTTAGCAAAATAGTAACATATATGCTCATACGCTCGGCCGCGCGCCGTGTGTGTGTGCGCTGATCCATGCACGTGGAGTGATCATTCGTTAACTTAAAATTACTTTCATTTAAAAAGTATTGTTTGAACACAATTTTGTCAGAGGAAAAAAGTTGCTTCTTTTGGCACATACAATCGCGCTGTGCAATCCGTGTCCTTGAATTCTGAAACATCCTGTATGCAAATACCGACAAAATATTGTTAAAGACCGACATGGAAGTTTTCTAATGGAAGTTCGCGTCCCTATTTAAGCTATTCACTAAAAGTAAAAATTTATATGATTAGGGTAAAAAATTTATAATGCAGTATTAATCTTATGATTTTATATATATATATATATTAGATGTTGGAATTAATTCGTAGCGTTTTACAAGTGATGGGAAGTACTTTCATTAATGTATTTTTTAATGCTCATGTGAAATAAATAACATTCTTTCATTAAAAAACGCTACGAATTAATTCCAACACCTAATATATATATATATATATATAAATTTCGTAGATATATGTATATAAAACTAAATAATACTCTATTTTTATTAAAAACTGTGATTTTATTATAAAGTTATCGTTCGGGTTTGATTATCCATAGAAATGATGATTGTAAAGGAAAAATTGTAATTTTGTGACAATAATTGTTTCGTTCCCATTACTTCTTAAATATTTTCATTAATTTTCCCGAGAATTCAGCATATTTCAGTGTACAATAAATTGTAAAAATGTTATTTGTCTTGCATTATTTTTCATTTTTTTCGGATTCAAGATAAGAAATGCAATTCAATATTCAATCACTTTGAATATAAACTATATAAATTTTATATAAAAATTAATTTTATACAAATTTAATAATTTTAATAATTTTATAATAATTTTATATAAATTTTTTTCATAATTCTTTTGAATTCAATGTTTGTCGTTAAAATGTTAAGTAATTTTATTATTTTTTAGTAGATTTTATTACATTCTTTCAACTACTAATTGCAACATTTTGATTATCCCGTTTTTGTTTTCGTTAATTTTCATTAATAAATCTTTAAAAATATTGTATACTTCCGTTTCCATTTCATTACATTTCAGATATTTTTATTAATTTTCCTTAGAATTTATAGTATTCCAGCATATTTCATATACAATAAACTGTAAAAGTATTATATGTCTTGTATTATTTTCCATTTTTTTTTCACTCATTTTCAATAATTATATTTTTAGGATTCATGATACTTTAGTATAATTTAGTGTTCAATATCTCTGAATAAATTGTGAATATATCTCTGAATAAGTATGAATATTAAATATATATGAATTAGTTTTCATTATTTTTCATTACTTTTCATTAATTATTATTAAAATTCATAGTATTTCAATACTAAAATATTGTAAATTGAAGATTGAAGTATTATAATACTTTTAATATTGAAATACTATGACAAATTTGTGAAAAATGAATGACAATATTTAAGACAATACTTAAAACGGTCTCAAATATAGGATCCGATTATAAATATCAGTCTAATATTAAAAAATGGCTTAATATTAAAAAAAATAAAATAAAATTTTATTAAAAAATTGCGAAAAATAAAATTTCGTAAAAAATAAAATTTAATTATTGGAACAAAATTTATTTCTTCAAACTATAATCAAAATTCAGAAAAAATTATTTAGGTGAAAACATTGAACAACATGTAATTATTTATTTAAGAAAATAAAAGTAGGTTCAAATGTGTCAAGCTAATGATGAGAAAAGAAACATAAAAATAGATAATTTTACCTTACTTTGCTTATTTCGTAACTACACCTTCTTTCTTAAGTAATATGTAATTGTAACATATGCATCCTTATGTGATGAGTACTATTCAAAAGCGTAATATATTAGTACAAGTGATCATTCATGCAAGCGTTTATTGTCGCTCTCGTGCATCACAGAAATAATAAAGTAGAAATACGTCATAATTATGGTATAATTTACAAGTAATAAATCTCTTTTGTTTAATAATTATACAAGTTTTTTTCACATACTGCAACCGAAAGATTGAACTCAATTTAAATAAAAATTAATTTGAGTTTCTTCTTTCATAGTGCGTATAGTTTCTTTCATAAAACAAACCCTTGTAAATCAAACTTTGCTCTGTTAAAAAATGACAATGTAATGGTATTTGATAAAGTAGCATAAAATACCTTTTCGTCCAAAGCCTTGTGATGCTCGAAAAGGCTTTTCAAAGCTTTGAGGACTTCCACTTCAGACGATACACCAGATTGCGCAGCGGCTTGACGTTTCACAACCGTCATCCTAAGTGACCGTTCATGTCGCGATACTAAACACTCTAGATGTTCCAATAAGAGCTGGAAATATCGATAATGATGTATGTTATGTTAACTATACAGAACCATTTATTCCGTCATTAACTCTACAATTTTTTATTTATTGTTATTTTTATTTATTTTCATTATACGTTAAACATTTACTTATTAAAGAATTATTTAAAAAGCCTAAAATTTAAGAAAATCATAAAGAATTATTAGAATATAATTATAAAAAATCAGCTACGCACACGTGTATTGTTTCGCTCCGCTTTTAATTCGGAAATTTCCTCTTCTCTTTCCAAAATGCTCTCCCTCGCCGCCGCCAGTTCTTTGGTCAATTGAGAAAATTCCTGTAATAAAAAACGGTGCACGTTAACACAGTATAAAGGACCAATATATGTTGTCAAGATCATCACCTTGAGTGACCTTCAACAGATTTCAGCTGTCGCTCGTTATTTATTCAAAAGTTATTAATAAAAGTTTGAAGAAGTAATATCTTATTTGTGCTACATGTATAGAAGAGAAGGTGGTATTATAGTACCTCAGTTGCATTTTACACAATAATTTGGTTAATAATCAATATTAAAGTTTAAAACTTGACAATTACTTATTAAAATATTTTTAAATCGATTCTGGACTCAAAGTTAAAAAATATTTATTACTTAGGACACTATTAATAAAAATGTGACAATATTGCATAAAGACTCGAAGAAAAATATAAGTGATAATGTGGTCTTCCACAAAAATAGCCTTAAAAAAATTAGTTTTGTTTAGAAAACAGTTTGGTCAAAAAATTAAAACAAAATTAACAAAAAAGTAAAACATTTTACAATGTATGCAAATAAATGTATATACATTCACATAACTTCTGTATATAAGATGCTCAATACTAAAAATAGTACACGTAATATAAACTATAGATTAACAGTAGAGCTATAATCGATTATCAAATAATTATTTTGATAAAAACCTAAAAAAGAGGCCGTGAGTCATGAGTAATCAATATCCATAGAGAGCCATATTAACAAAATGTCTTTTGTTTAAATTTGCATAAAAATATATACAATCAAATAAAATATTAAATAGTATACAACACACTCAAAAATACATATATTCGTGTGATAATACTTTCAATAATACTCAAGTTTAAGAAAAATGAAGAAATAAGTATAATTAAATGCTAAAATGTGCCTCAGAAACATTCCGAAATACTTAAAAGTAAAAATTATAATAAGTGGTGGCTATTGAGTATTGGCGTCATAGTGTAACGGCGAGCTACTGAACAAATAATTCCATAAGTAATCATTAGGATTCGCTATATAATAGCGGAGATATTAAGGGAGATCACAATGTATACACTAAAATACTATTTTATATCCTCCTTGCTTAAAACAAGGGAGAGATCTTACTTTGCGTGGAAAGTCGTGCATTCCTAGGCAGGGGAGGGGGGGAGGTGGGGGGTGGGCCTCTCTTTGCGTGAAAACTCAGACGCCCCTTAACAGAGGGGAAATGGGTTAAAACTCGCTTCTTATGGAAAGTCATTCTAAGCAAGAGGAATGGACTTCCCTTCGCGTAGAAAACTGTTAACAAGAAAGGGTACAGAACGTAAGCAAAAAAGGATACAGAATAATTTTCAATATTGTATATATCAGAAATAAGGCGTTATTTTTTTTCAACTTCTTTTGTTAATCACTTTTTAATGAACAAATGACAGCTAAAACACCTACAGCACAAAAATTGCAGCAAAATTGCATGTTGCAGCAATATTGCAATGTTATTGCAGCGATATTGCTGCAAGTTCTGTGCTGTATGGGACCCTGTTGAAGGTTACTCAGAGTGATGACCTTCACAACATATGTCAAGATCAAAGTTATCGGAGAATGGTTCCTTATATATACTGCATAATTAACATTATTGTTAATATTTTAAAACATTTCACTATTACCAAGGCAAAGGTAATCTAAAGGCATAGGACACTCGCACGGAATGCAAGAGATTCGGATTTAACTCTAGACCAAAATCATATTTTTTGCAACAAGAATTAATTATTTACAAATTTTAATATGTCAATTATTATTATTAAGATCGTTCTAAGATGCGAAAAAGCATCAAATTATTAAATTGCTAGTCAATTTAACTCGTGATATTACTGCGGTAGTTTACTCTCTAAATCTCATAGAGTGATTTTGTCATATTTTGGAGCAACAGTCAAAATTTGCGATAGTCATTCCATAAAATAGACTTATTACTCTATTTTAAGTTAACGACCATTAACTGTGGATTAAGTTAGAAGTAAAAGTTTCACTCAAATTTTTGAAGCGATTATGTAATGTAAGCGGCATCAACACTTACAAGTTCGAAAAAGCAGAAAATTTATGTTTTAAAGCAGAGAATTTGTGTTTTTAAAGCAGAGAATTTGTGTTTTTAAAGCAGAGAATTTGTGTTTTAAAGTAAAGAATTTTGTGCGAAGTGTTGATCATAGAATACGAAAATGTGACTGCAGTGTTTAGTCACATCACGGTAATGCATGGCAGAATCCCTGATTTGAATAATCATTAAATAATGAATAATATCTCGGTTTTATCGGATAGTCTGCACTTTTTCCGTTCATATTTTTTCGTTTCATGAAAAAACATGTTCAAATGAGCATTATTTCATCATAATTGAGCATTGCCAGACAAGGATATCGACAGTTGGTACGTGTGAGAAAGAAGAATATGCATATTAGGGGCCTCTTTCGCCTCTCTCTTCCTCTTGTGAGACAAACAGTGTTTAGTTCTTTAAATAGTTATATTTGTATACTATATGTAAAATATATATTTTGTGTTTAACATTATATTTTCAGTTATTTCTGAATTACTTCTAATCTTTATTTAGATTTAATAGTAATAAAGAGAAATCTGATATTAAACAAACAATTAATTATTCATCACAATTTCTTAACTTGTAAGATTTATAGTTTTGTAAATAATAATTAACATTTATTTGAAAATTATTAATTCAAGAAGTGAATAAAATTCTAACTCTATTGGTCTTGTTGTCTAAGGGAGCTTTTCAACAAGAAATACAGACAACAAAGTGATACAGTATTTAAGTACAATGCTTTCCAACACGGCATAAGTTTATACAGTCAATATAATACTTTCCAGCAATGTACACAGGTTTATTTACAGTTTTTCAGCACATTAATATCTTTCTAATACAATATTTGATTATGCATCAAATTATTAAGAACTGCTTCTCAATTTAATTTAATTCGTGATATTAATACAGTAATTTAATTGCGTTTATAAGTCCGGAAAATCAATTCTTCGCAATTTGAAGAACTACAGATTTGCATGTACATATATAATATATATATATATAATCATTATTTCAATCTTAATTCATTAACATTCATTCTAGGTCTAGGATCATTATAGGCATTTTAATTTCTAGTATCGATATGTTGTCACATGTTATAGTGTAAAATAAAATTCTTATTGTACACAGATGATATTGTAATCACAGTATATCATGCTTTCTAACATAACATATGACATAATTTGATACAATTGTATAATACAACTAGGTGTGCTGGACTGTGGTGTCATTTTATATCATTTCGGTAATTATATATATTAACGGACATCGCGCCGATAACCTTGACATTGATATATATCAAGGTCATAATTCTGAGTAACTTTGCCTTAACAACTAGGTCTCTTATAGTTTCTAAGATATTTAGACTCAAAAGTCTAATTTATGTGATATATCTTTCCGTTAGAGAATAAACTCCAATATTAAAGAAGAATAAATATGTATTATACTTCATATAGCTACTATTTTATTTCAGCAACTCTACTTTCAACTTTCCACGAAGCGACTCTCATCCCCCTTCCCCTTCTGCAAAGGGGCGCATGACTTTTCACCCTCGACTCCCATCTCCCTTTCTCTCCCTGCAAAGGGGCACCGGACTTCCATAATTATACTATTTGACAACATATGTCAAAGTTGTGATCGGCACGGCGTCCCCTACAGTGCACGACTATCAAACATATTTTAAAACACGGAATTCTCGTGTTATATAGTTGAATTTTTTTTTGTTAATAACTTTTGACGAAGGACGACCGCCATCTAAAACCTGTCGGAGGTCACTCAGGGTCATGACCTTGACAACATATATCAAGGTCAAGGTCATCGTCGTCCGTTAATGTATATAATTACCCAATATTTTTTAAATGAGAACAATTTAAAAAAAAAATTAAATTAATGAATGAACGCACTACATAACGCATGGATTAGGGGTGGCGCACACATACGGCACGACTCTGCAAATGAGCATGTACGACATTATTTCTCTATTTTGCTAAAAATGTTATTAAAACTATGCATAATATCTAAATATCATAGTTATTCACAAGTTGCCTAATCTACTTATTTTACTTTCAATCGTTTCTTTAGTGATATCAATTAGAAAACATTCTCTTCTTAAATAAGCTGTATTCAAAATAGTGATATTTAGATATCATACATAATTTTCATTAAATCTTTAGCAAAATAGTAAAATAATTCTCACACACCGAACCGCGCCGTATATATGCGCCTCTGATCCATGCATAACGTAAAGCGCTCATTCATTGATTTAAAATTGCTCTTATTTAAAAAGTACTGTTTGAACGCAATTTTGCCAGAGGAAAAAGTTCCTTCTTTTGCAATCAGTGTCCGCTAATTCTAAAACATCCTGTATATAAAATAACTAACGCGTTTACATGTTTCGTCTCAATTTTGGACTTTCTTTAGAGCTTATAACATTAAACATATAATATAATTATGTCTGGTTAAACATCGATTTTTTATGGAGAGTCACTCTCAAAATATCCTGCTGCTCGTTCACCTAAAGTTGAAAGATCAAGTGGATAGTCTGATGCTGTTAATACAAAATCTTTGTTTAAACTATGAGGGAGCAAATTTTAACTTTTTCACTGGAATGAACCAGTGAATGGATTGAGAATAATTCATCATTGACGTAACACACTCCATCACACGTTAACCATAAATGGGAATGAAATTAATCCGAAAAAAATAAAAGAAAATTTTTAGCATCATTAGGTTTGTCAATGTTATACATAATTAATTATAATCAATATTTCGAAGTAAGTTCCCTATATTTATTGACAACCTTTTCACATAGAACAATAAAAAATCAAACCTTAAGCTGACAGCCATGTAGTAAATAGCTTTCAGCTTGTTATAAAATTCAAAGATACTTATCTAGAACATAATCATATCTTAATTTCTTTTGATATAGTCGCATTTTTTACTCACACAGCATGTAATATTGTAATAATCTTGCAGTAATATTGCAAAT